TGCCAGGATTTATAAAGTTTCCCTTGCCTCACACAAAAATATGTTTTACATCAAATTGTTTCAGCACAAGCCTCTAAACTATTTTTAATTTTTCAATTATGCTCATTTTTCATTTACAGTACGTTAAATGTATTATGAGGTATGATAAAATGCAATATATATGTATCTATGAATCAAAGAAAAATTTACAATTATTCAAATTGTTCTATTTATTCAAAAGCAAATTCCATTTTTATGCAGATTAAACGAATCTCTTGGTAACATGCTATGTGGAAAGGTATAAAATAAGTTAAAGCAAAAACATAAGCTTAAAATTATTACCGCAAAGCCTTAATGAAAAATATATTTAAATTAACATAGTCAAATTTTTTGCAACTGCTAGGTAAGAAAATTAAACATTTCAGAAATATTTTATACTCAATATTGCACAGATTTTTCACGTAATCATATCTTAATAAATTATATCATTTACTTTCTATTTAACAAATTTAATTTAATAGCATGAAACTACTTATATAACCTATGGTGTGATGATGTTTATTTTGTAGATATTTTAATCACTATTTCCAGAATTTAATAAGAAGTACTCCTGAATAATTATAATAATTAGAATGCATTATTATGCTTGCATTTTGTAGGTTCACATTCTGGAGTACTTTAACCAATAAATCTCTGAAGGTTTATATGCCTGCAGCAGTTACTTGGATACATTTGAGAAAAGTTTTCTGAAATTTCTAGCATCACGAAACCCAAAGTTAGAATTTTTTATTGAATAATTTAATTGTATTTATCTTATATACATGGTGACCAGTTCTTGCTGTTCATGACCATTAGAATAGACAGATATACAACGCATAGTACTCAATATAAGGTCTCAAAATAATCTACATGAACATACACACGTTTTGCCAATGCCCTGGTTCTTGTACCCTGATTACATAAGTTTTTAGATTTATCAGCTCTTGTATATAACCTTGAAAAGTATTTTCCTGTAAATACCTGGCTTCAGAAAAGCACGAAATTCAATCGTGGAAACAGATAGATACAAGTGTGTGAGACAAATGCATTTGAATAACAATTCAAATTTCAACAGCTATGATTAAATATCTTAACTGTAAAAAACTAAAACAACGCCGAAAACATATATTGCAAATAAATAAATAAAAGTACTTACCTCGAGTGTTCTTGGCTGCGTCTCATCATCAGCGTCTGGTAACTACTGCACATACGTAATGCAAATCGTGTAGCACTCCTAATTGATCCTTCTCCTGATCCGGTATTATAGAAAATCCCGGTATTAGTGAAATCCGCAAAGCAGGAGTGTGAAATGTCATGAGATGACTGCCGTAGACCCCCGTTTGAGTATGTAGAGGAGCAATTAGGATCAGTCATGCCCCCATTAAATTCATGCGAAATGTCATCCGATGACTGCCGAAGATCTCCGTTTGGGTATGCAGAGGATCAATTAGGATCAATCATGCCCATACCATTGAGATCATGCCCCCATCACTTTCATACGAAATGTCATCCGATGACTGCCGAAGATCTCCGTTTGGGTATGTAGAGGATCAATCATGCTCCCCATCACATTCATACGAAATGTCATCCGATGACTGCCGAACACCCCCGTTAGTTAGAGTATGTGTAGAGGATTAATTAGGATCAGCCATGCCCTCAATGATGCTGACATGAGCGACTTTCTTGCAACAATCCACTCATAGCCATATCTTTTATATATACTTGACATTCATAGCGAGAACTAATTGAACCTTCATTCATACACCAGCCAGTTACTTACCCTTTCGCTCTAGAAAAAACGAGTATTTATCTTACCAAACATACTTCTGTTTTGGAAAAGACGAGAAAATGATTAATTAGAATCAGCCAGGTGCAATTAATGAAAGTCCAATTAACGACAATTAAAATACTAATAATTTTAAATACATGATTTGTAGTGGCTGATTCACGTACTACAAGTCATGTAGCCCTCAGTCATTAACTTAAGACGTTCCATTCTTATTAAACTTGAGAAAAACAGTAGCACATAACAAAAAAATGGCTTCCATAACATTGGTGAAACAGAGTCGAAAACCGCTAACAGCGTCAAAATTTGGCGCCAAACCAATGGGCACACTTCTCTATATTAAGACTCTGGAGTCATGCATAGGACAATGACATTTATATACCACGGTATGAGTTCTTAGAAGCATTCAGAACCTATTTTCAGTATAGGCTATCTTTACATACAGTTACTGAGATGATTGGAGTTAGTTTTGAAAAAACACATCACACCAGTTACTCGAAAATTCTATATATTTATGGGTGCCATACTGAAACTGAATATCACTTAGGACCGTCCCAAGGCATCATTTGTAATTCAGGTTTTACTTAAACTGTAACAATCGTATTCTTATTTAGTGAAAGTTTTTGCACATCAATAAAAGTAATCTTTCTAAAGGTTTTAGTTTATACTGTTGCGTGCGTACGGTTCGTAATAGATGGAATGCACAAGTCCGATAAAAGATTAATAAAATTTATTCAAATCATAACAAATGTAACAAAACGCTAGAATTATCCTCAGATATTCGTACAGTAGTTATATTTTAAACTACTAAAACGTTAAAGAAAACGCAATCTAAAGCGCAGAGAAAGCTAATCTGATCTCAAAATAACAGCAGCTAAGTAAACAACAACTGAGTAAGCAACTGAACTGAGATGTTTCTCTCCAGCTTTTATAGCTTTCTAAGTCGGCCACGCAAGATAAGTCTCGCAATTTCTGGAAAGCAAAAAGAGTAGAATTACGGTTACAGTTAACATAGTAGTCAATTACATTTATTCAAATTAAATATAAATTACGAGATATCTATTTATTAAATTCGCGTGCTTCTGAATTTTAACTTTTTCGGCGTAGCTTTTTCTTAAAATTCGGGGCGCGCTGCATTGCACGGGGAAATAAAACAATTTTGAATTATAATTTTACTAAAAATGTCTAACTAAGAAACGAAATTCGTAACAAGATCTTTAATGATATCATAGCCTGTGATTCGCATGACGGAAAATGTGCTAAGATTCGAATTTTAGAATTTCATATATTAGATTTGCAGGATCTGATGATCCAAATGCCCCATCCTTAGGAGGAAAAAATCTAACTTGTGATCATATAAGGATCTAATGAATTAATCCAATCAATTGCTTGAGAAAAATCTAAAATTATTTGTTATCTAAAGGCTGGAAAAGTTGACAGCTCATTTTAAAATAACTTTTCCTTCTCTTTTATAGTAATTTCTTCAGAGCGTGAAGTGTGCAGTATCATGTATATTATTCTTTCTGAAAAATTGCGTATGAGTTAAAAATAAATAAAAATAACTGGATATACTTTTCAAATAGTGCATCATTTTCCCCATAAATGAAAAGCTTTTTGTATTGATGTACGTGTAAACACAATTACGTGTTCTGTTATTTTCAGATTACTTCTGAGGAAAGATGGAAATAGAGGTAAAAATTAGATTTCTGTCCGAAAAAGAAAATTCACTTGTATCTTACTTGGATCGTACAGAAATGATTGTCACAACAGCTCTCACAACGAAATTATTACACTAAGCGAAGGGAAAACAAGTGAAATAGACACAAGGGAGCGTGAGCTATACAGAATCCATAGATGGAGCTGACCGCAAGCGAACGGTATAAGTCAGCGCCCGTCCCTTTTGCCATCGTCATTGAGAGCGTGGACAGCAGTGATTAAAGTTGATTATCACGGTCAGCGTTGAACAGCGTGGTTCCTATGGAAGGAAGGGATACATGTTAGTGAAGTCCTTCGTCGTATGGTGTCGGTGTGCGGGACCAAAGCACCCTCAAGGCGTACCGTATCCCGTTGGTTGGTCAAGTTCAGCAGTGGAATGGTCACCGCAGCCAAGAGTGTCACCGCGAGACGACCAGCAACATCGCATACAGGTACAGGTAGAAGCTAGGCCAGCACCTCCGTAGTACCACAAATAATTGAGGTATTGTTGAACCTAGCTAACTGTTAAACTTTCCACCCCAATTTTGAGGGATAACACCCCGGGGGCTGGTCCGAGGTTCTCCCGCCCCTCTTTTTTTTACTATCAACCACTTGAGAGGACTTTGAGATAAATGAGTTCTGGTATTAATAGTGTACACAATCATATTGAGAATGTCGCAGCCATGTCGGATTTGATCATGGGCGAACAGGTGCGTAACGTTCAACAAGATGCAGGAAGAGACAGGACTTGCGCAAGGAACATTGCAGGCGATTGTACATAGTGATTTGGAGATGACAAATGAGTGTGCAAAGTGGATGGACATCGGACCTCGAATCAAGACCTCCGACTACGCCTTGTTTGACAAGATGAAGGACGCAGTCAGGGGCCAACATGTTAAATAATCTGCCGAATTGTATGCAATTGTCCATAGGTGGTACAACAATATCCCCACACACTGGTTTACCAAAGCCCTTCGGGACTTCCCAGACAGATGGCAGAAGTGTATTGACATGGGTGGGGATTATTTCTAACTTATGTACTATAAATTTTTTGTTAATGCATTGTATCCCGCTTTGTGGCAGCATTTGAGTCATTTATTTCTGTACGACCTAAATGCAATAGTTTCGAATCTGTATTTCTAGATTTTACTTTCCTAAATATGTATTTGAAAGCAGATTTACATGATATCACATTAATTACATTAAAATTCGAATCCATTTTTAGTTAATGGTTTTTTCATTCCAAATCTGATTCACTACTTTTAAAATAATGTAAATTCGGAGTTACAGTTCTTGAACTGTGTAAACCTTTAACTGAATGACGAGATTACAAAATTACTGTGATATTTCACGCAATAAAGAGTAGTATATTTGCATTAGTTATCATATTCAGGAAATTATCATTACAGAAATTACTATTTATTTCACGAAAAGTAGGTCATTTATCATAATTTATTCATATGTTCATTTTTCTTTAATTATTTGCAAAATATTTCTCCAGTAGAAAGCAGGGAGACGGCCTTTTTATATTCCATCATCTCGGCTGGAGTGACTGACGCTCTTATACGAGCTTGCAGCAAGTCAGAGAAGTCCAGTTTCTGCGTCTGTGATGAATTCAAGCGACAGCGAGGATTCGATTCACTGGGAGAATTTAAATGGTCAGGATGTTCTAATATGCAGTCAGGAATGAGATTCTCCAAACAATTCATTGATGCTGAGGAAAGGAGAATAAAAGATGCTAGAGCCCTTTTTAATATCCACAATAATAGGGTGGGAAGAAAGGTAAGATATGAATTGTTATTCCTCATTAAGGTGCTACTTTGGTAGACGGCTGCACGGATTTTGGCGATTTTTTATGGCGAGCGATACGACATATGGTAAACCCATTCCTAGACCAGTTATTTGTGGCAACCCATACTTTGTGGTCATTTTATTTAAAGAAAAATGCGTTTTATTATGCATAAATTCCGTATTTTAAATATTATTTATGGCTTCTTAGTATTAAAAATCAATTTAATATTTGCATGTTTATTTGAAATAAAAATTTATTGTTTATGATATTTTATGTTGTGGATGATGTAATGAATAACGTCACATTACTTTAAAAGTAATTGGTTTTAATATCTATAAATTTTAATCTGATGTATTAAACATTATTTATGGCTGTTAAATATTAAAATACAATTTAATTTTACATTTTTTAAAAATTATTTTAGTATGTATGATTATTTAAATAATTTTAATTCTATTCGTGATGTAATCAGCTCCCTGATTGGTTGCAGAATATTTGTGCATTAACGAGCTGTAATCAACTCCCTGATTGGTTACTGAATTTTTGTGCATTACCGCGCCATTTTAAAATTTTATTATTCATCTCTTCGAATTCCTTAGATTACATTTTAAAATTTTTTTACAAATTTTTTCTCTTAGATTACATTTTTAAAATTATATTACATTTTCAAATTTTTTCATTTATATCTAAATTATGATTCCGATTTTTTTGTTGTACTTATCAATTTACAATAGGTTAAATACTCAAAAAAAATGTAACTACGTACTGTTTTTCTTTTACATCATAATTATATACTTCAATTTTTATTAAAAAAATTAATTCACTGATTTAAAAAATTGTCGAGATATTTATTGCCACATATGATTTAATGTTAAATAATTATATCGTATAAAACTTATTTTAAAGGATTTGAATTTAAGTAATATTTTAATTCTTTTAAACGTTGGCATAATGTTTTTAATTCGATATTCAATTTAAGTAATATTTTAATCAAATTAAACGCTGGCGCAATGTTCTTACAGCGGTGTTTTTATTCTCTTTCTTTGCTATATGAAAGTAATAATTTAACCTTATTTTGGTATTTTATACTTATAGTAAACGTATTTATTTACATTTGCCTACCATCTTAAAAAACGACATTTTCAGCAAAAAATTAATCCATTATTTTTAACGATATTTAATTTTTTTAAAGTTTCGAATACTTTAGTATGCGTAAAATACGTAAAAACAGCGTTTTCCAAGATGGCTGACGATTGTAAAAACCACGCCAACAATTGCTCCAAAATAAATCGCCAAAAATCGGGCAACCGTCTACCAAAGTAGCACCCTCATTAATTATATGCCGTCATCGTAGACGAGCTTTCCATTATTATAAGTGATTTGGGAAATTGTTTTTTAATTGCAAATAAATAAAAGTTGCTATGAATTAACACTTCTTTATCTGAGCTTGAGAAGGCCAATCTCAAATTCACGATATTAAAAATTATCTGCATTATTTCAAGTAGCAACATAATCTCATTTTAGAGTAAATATTTTCATGTACAGCGCATTGGATGCAGAAAGAATTGCATATTACGAGCCGGGTCAGATATTTCCCATTCACTTTCATGTGGTATCTATTCGAAAAGAACTTTTGAGTAACAGAGAAAATTTCTCCTCCCACCCCCAACTATGCAGATATTATCTCATTTGGTTTTCATTTACTCTTAACTGACGCTACACAGCTTTTCCGAAATGCGTTTTTCTAATGCAGAGAAAGCCGTAATGGGTGAAAAATTTAAAGATACTTGTCTAAAGATACTAAAGGCATGTCTAAATTGCCTCAATTTTTTTTTTTCATTATTTTAAGGAGTATCAGCAACCCTTATACCGACAATGTTAAATTGGCCATTTTTGATGTACCTTTTCTCAAAATCTGCTGTAGATACACCCTTGAATCTGCTGTAGATGCACCCTTGAATCTGCTGTAGATGCACCCTTATACTGACAGTGTTAAATTGGCCATTTTCGATGTACCTTTTCTCAAAATCTGCTGTAGATACGCCCTTGAAATTTTTTGTGTAATTAAAGTATATCTATCTGATTATATCAAAATGAGCTTTTGAAACATTTTAAATTTTAGAGTAATTTTCAGAATACTTTGTTAGTAAAATTTAGCACTTTTCTCACACAAAAAAAAATTTTAAATTTTGTTCGAAGTTTATCACAAAAAGCTCATTTTAGTAAATATTAGAAAACCTAATAAGTAAGCCATAAAAATTTTAGATACCTGTGAGCATTAGTTCGTGAGAAAAGGTACATCGAGTATAAAAAAATCACGTTTGGAGAAAAATGCGTTTTTACGTAACAAATCCTCATTCATCAAAGCATTCGATGACAAATTAAAACTAGAGTTTTTAGTTTTTACAGTTCTAGTTTTAATTTGTCATCGAATGCTTTGATGAATGAGGATTTGTTTGAATCTCTATGACAATTAGAACTAGAGTTTTTAGTTTTTACAGTTCTAGTTCTAATTGTCATAGAGATTAAAGAATGGTATTTTTAGAAAGATAAAAGTGTAGAGAATTTGAAAATGCAAAAATCCGAAATCACAATTTTTTGAAGATTTTGAGGTAGAAACACCCCTTAAAATAAAGTAAGAAATGAGATTATACAGGTAACAGATGGACGGGATAGCTGACATAGGTATTGCATTTAAAATGTGTATGTTCCCTCTCTTACTTTCAATTAAATAAGTATATTATAAGCTAATAACGTTTTCAAATGGCTGACAGTATAGAATATCAGCAAAACAGTAACCGAGCCAGAAACAATTTTTAATAATATTGTTATTCTTGCTACGAATGATACATTTAAAACTCTTTATCATCTCAAGATTGTAGAAAAAGAGATGTATACAAAGATTGATACAATGGGGTTCGAGTATCTCTGGAACAAATTCGCTTGTAGAGATATTACGTTGTTTCGAAGCAGGAGACATGAAAAATGAGCAGTGCCCTCGCCGGGACTCGAAACATGGACCTCTCGAATACGCGCCGATTGTGCTGACCATTACACAACGAAGACATGCAGAAAGAAAGGAGAGAATACCGTACATCCTCAACCTTTTAAAGGGCAACTGGGGATTAGTGGACCCAATCGCCAAATCTTGGTGGTGAAGAATCATCATCCACCACCTTTTAGTTCAGGCGCCACCGTAGAGACATTAGGTTATTTCGAAGCAGGAGAGATGAAAATCAGCAATGCCCTTGCCGGGAGTCGAACCATGGACTTCTCGAATATATGTCGAACATGCTGAAACACCACGAAGGCATGCTAAGAAGGCGGGAGAAATACCTTATATACTCCTCCTTTTAAAGGGCGACTGGAGATTAGGGGACCCAATCGCCAAGTCCTAGTGGTGGAGAATCATCATCCACCACCTTTTAGTTCGGGGGCAACTGTAGAGACATTAGGTAATTTCGAAGCAGGAGATGGGAAAAATGAGCAACACCTTCGCCGGGACTCGAACCACAGGCCTCTCGAATGCGCGCCCAACGTACTGTCCACTACACCATGAAAACATGCTAAGAAGACGGGATAAATACCTTATAAACTTATAAGGTGTTTCTCCCGCCTTCCTAGTGTGCCCTTGTGGTGTAGTGGTTCTGCACGATAGGCCGGTATTCCAGAGGTCCGTGGTGCGATTCCTGGCGAAGGCGTTGCTAATTTTTTATCTCTTGCTTCCAAAAAAATTTTTTTTTTAAATTTACAATGAGAGAAACTTTACAGACAACATTACGCGAACTTTGTGAACATATAAAGTAAAAAGTCAATATCTCATCATTTGGCCTCTAGCGTTGCAATACCTGTCCACTTCAGAGGCTTCAAGCAGCGCCGGACACCGTCCGATGTGGGTCCTATCCATTTCTTCATTTAAGCCGCAACGTAGGCAGTTTGAGTTGGTAAGAATGCGAACACGATAAAGATGGCTTGCCAAGCAGTTGTGACCATTTTCAGGCCTAAGACTGGCCACAGCTATTCCCCGTTGTTTGTCTCTTGTAATTTCCTTTCTAAGATGTCACTCCAGCTCTTGCTTGATACAAGCATCATAAGTTCACTTGTAATATCTACTTGTTTATCTTTTGGTGTGATGGCTGAAGTATGTGTAGGAACTACACAAGAGAAGACTTAAAAGAACCTTTTATTAAAACTATTTAAAACTCACAATGTGTCTACTTGACGCTAAAAAACTACTCCTCGCTCGGGCGGTAACTCAAATAACAAGAACTAAACTAAAAATTCAAAGATATTAACAAACAGTAGAATTATTCTCCGGGGCTTAGATACTCCTGTTACCTAAAACCGCGTTGAAATCTAGTGCCATCAAAGTAATAACTGTAACGCCACTTTAACCAGCAATCAACGTAGAATTAGAAGCTCACGCTACAAATGTACAGCACTTACCAACGCTCTCTAACTTTCCCTTCTAGAACTCGGTATTTAAAAATTTTCTCCTCAAGGTATAATTTACATTCCTTCACGCGCGCTACCAAATTTCAATATTCTGGCATTGATAATTATGGGAACGAAAGCTTATAGGAAAGAAAGTAAACTTATTTAATGGTTATTCAAAATAAATATGAATCCCTACACACTTCTCAATTTTTGTTTCACAAATTTACGAATGTACAGTTTTGCACAATGGTAAAAACAATTTGTACATATCATTTGAATCATTTCTGTACATTTTATTACAAGTTTGCCGGCCTGATTATTACCGTGTAGAGACGTTAGGTCATTTTTAGAGCAAGAGAGATTAAAAATGAGCAAACGTCTTTCCCGGGAATCTAGCCGCGGACCTCTGGAATACGCACCCAGCGTGCAGACTACCACATCACGAAGGCATGCCAAGAAGGCGGGAGAAATACCTTATGTACTCCTCTTTTTAGAGGGCGATTTGGGTTTTAGGGCGAATACCCAATCACCAAATCCTGGGTGTGAAAAATCA